AAAAATGTATCACTGGTGGTACAGTACAGATTAAACAACAGCAAGTGTCCTAACTAAGAGAGTCTCTTATCACATACTATCTGTGGTAATACGACTTTCTGTCAGAAATTATTTTAAAAAATGCATTATCAAATAATAAATTGGGATCTACTGCACAACCATGGATTTTATCACTGCCATGTAGTGGAAATATTCAGATTTGCCAATTATTTCATGTACAAAATTTTTGCCAATTTTAAGTCAAATAATCATTGCTACTTTTGAGATTAAAAGCACTAAGATTAGAAGCAAAAATCACAGGATGTAAGACAAAAATATTTTAGGTGATATTGAATGGCAGGTTTAAGTAGTTTATCCCAAATATCATCACAATACTGTTAAAATGCTCTTACCTTGCCTGAGCAGAAACCTGTATTATAATAGTGTTCATAATCAAGGGCACAAATTCAGCTACTACATTATGGATGTTGAGTTTGTAGAGCTTTAAAAAAAGAAAAGTATTAGAGAAATTTACAAGTCACATTCGCAGTCAACTTATTTGAGAGCTAATCAGAAAAAAAATGAAGAAATCTCAATGGCTTATTTTTAAGCCATATTTTGATCTCCAAAATACATTACATCCATTTTCACTGATATGTTAGCCATCAGACATTACTCAAGCCATTCAGTAATAAAAACTACCTACATACAAAATACTGGAGTATACTAACCTGATACATAAGAACAACAATAATAGGTAGCTCAGCCAAGACCTTCAGAGATAAAGATCCTCTGGGAATTATAGAATGCTGAAAGAAAGAATACATGTTTTATAAACAGTGTAATTATTAATTCAAAAAAGTATTTGAAATTCATTTTTTAAAGAAACTGCTCTTTTTAGTAGCACTATATTTAGCAATAATATTTAAAAAGCACAAAACCATTTGGTATTATATTAAATAAAAATCCTGTCATTACATCTGCATAGAAAATATCTGAAAAGTTTCAAGCGGCTTCTACAAATAACTCTTTATAACAAAAACAAAAAGAAAACCTATTACATTTACCTGCTCTTATGATTACATATTTACTATGTAATCATACAGACAGTCTCATAGTTAAAGAGCATTTAGAATACTCACTGTTCTCGTTTCACTATCTTCTCGCTCAGGGTTTACTTTCACCACAATTGTTGTAATCATGCCAACCATTTCAGGAGTAGGAACAGTGTTCTCTGGAATCACCTGAGGATTCTCAAAATACCGATTCTACAAGCAAAGAGCAGAAGAAAAATATAATAATGCTAGTAAGAGTCAAAAGGATATTTATCTCATTAGAATGCATCCATATAGTTTTTCCCCACAACTTATTGCAGACAGTTTTTTCTTCTCTGCACGTGACATTTACACTGCAGCATCTACTAGGACTACAGACATATGCTGCAATCTTTCACCCCCGCTACAGCAAGAAGCAGAAAAGCATCCCCAACCAAGGTAGTTCTTTCACTAAAGAAAGCATCCAAACAGATACCCTGTATCGTGAGGAAGAGCAGGCAACGGCCTCCACAGAGATCAAGCACACTGAATAACTCTATCTGCTGGAAAGTACCTCACCTCACTCTTCCCTCAAAAAACCCTCCACATTTGGCTACATGGACACCACTTCCAGTCAACTGATTAGTACTTTATTATACAAGTTTACCTCAGTTTTCTCATACTAGTAACACCATGCTAGAAACAGAACATTTTCTAATTCCAAATCTAAATTTCTCCATTTTTAGATGTATTTTTGTTAAATACTTTTATTAAACCGGTATTTATTTTGTATCACTAGATACAAAAGTAATTATGTTAATATCTTTTAGAGATAAATTAAGAAATAAAAACTAGTTTTCTGACCATAACAAGGGCAATTCAAGAAGTAAAAAGCTTACCACTACTTTTGGAAGTTCCTTGTAAATCTGTTTCACAAAGTCCAAAAAATGATGAATCTAGGAAGGAACAATTCAGTTTACCATGAAGAAATTAAAACAAAGCTAATCACAATTTTAGAATCTCTGTATTAACAGTACAATAACATAAAATCTTTTGTCACTATTGGAGTATATTTTTCATTGTATTTAAAAACAATCTGAAAGTGTTCTATTTCCTTCTGTTCTACCAATATTAATTCAAATTGCACTTGAAAAGAATCCGATTTACTTAACACCTCAAAACAGTTCAAATATAGTATTATTAGAAGTAATTACTATAAACCAACTAAGCCTTCCTAGGAGAAAGTCAAAGAAAGCAACCAAGAGAATAAAAAAAGCAAACTTTCAAATACTCCTTCAAGAGTCACAAGAGAGAAGCAAGGGCATGGGAGCAAAGAGAATCGTAATATTCCTTTTCCAGGGTTTTCCCTTCACAAACTAAAAAGGTATCAATTCTCTTCCCTTCTGTGGGAATTTTATTCCTCAGTCTAATCATATTGCCCATAAACACTTAAAGCAAAAACAACTAGGCTTAACAGCTGAGTTTTTTTCCCCAGGGGTGCTAGCACTACGTAATCCCCTTTTAAAAATTACTTTAAGGTAAAAAAAAATTCAATATATGGTTACCACAACAAGTCAGCCAACATAAAAGGACAGCAGGAAAAAACAAACCAACCCACTTGAACAAAACAACAATTCTGAAGAGCACATCAGTTAAGTTCTATACCATATAGCAAGATTTATGACTTACTTCTTGAGTGATTGCTGGTCGGAACTGTTTGTGCAATTCAATAATTATTCTTAAGCAAATCAGTACATTTTCTTCATTCTCCGTCTGAAAAAAAAGAGAATCTTTAGTAAGCCTACTCCTCCATTCTTCAACTACTTTGTAAGTACTTCAAAACCCTGTAAAATTATATTCCTCTCAGCAAACTGCAAGTGCCTCGTTAATATGAATTTGCATGAGCAAGATGCCTTTCCTTTGATATAACTTTACCTTGCAGCCTTAGAGTATGGCTAAAATTAAATTCACATCTACTGGAACAAAAACCAGAAATTTCAACAAGACTGTACCGTCAGACCTGTTTCTAATGCCCCGCAGAGAGACACAGGTGGGGCTATTTACACACCAAGACACCTCCACATAGGACAAGTTTTTTTCTGTGGGCTTCAAATGACAGTGTTTTCAATTCCAAATAAGAAACAAAATCTCTAAAATAAGGTATCAGCACTTATACAAGCCAGAAAAGTGTTCATGGATGAAACTTTGTCTAGCATGAGAACAGTTCCTTGCATCTCTAAAATCCAAGTTTCTAAAGGGCAGAAGAGAACATGCAGAAAATCTATAGATAGTAAGATATCACACTGGTGATACTCAATAGAACGCCCTTCCACTCTTGCTCGAGAAGCACAGCTATTTAAAATCCTACCCCTAGGAATTTTTGGAGATGAAGAAAGAAGAAAGTCTTTCTGAAAATCTGAAATGGTTTTAAGAGGGAAGAAAAATACCTCTAGAAATCTAAACATCACAGACAGGATATTTTTGGTATGAAGACGAAGATGTTCGTTTGTTGGTATTCTGTGAATTATTTCAAGCACTAGCTTTCGGAGTTGCTGTAAAAATTAAAAAAAAAAAGAAAAAATAAAGATATGATAGAACTTAAAAAGCTCAAAAAACAACAATTGGTTGCAGTATTTTTTTCAGCTTAATGCTTCTGCATGCTTAAAAATATAAAAGCCTTTTACTTCACGCAGACATACGCTTATATACAAACACATAATGCTTCCTACTACCCACATATGTGAAAAAGGCAAATTTAATAAATTTACAGTTGAAAATTGGAAGTTATCCGACTTCTTTTAAGGAACTCAGTTTTAAGTATTTAGTGACATAGATTCAACTTTTCCCTTTCATTCCACAGTAAAGTCAGTTATTTTTAACAATGTGCTGTTTTTCAGTGAGACAGCCAATTCTGTTGCACCTAGTTTTTCCCCCTTTTTCATAGAAGGACAGATTTGCAAAGCTTATAAGTAATATATTTAGAAACTGGGCTTTTTCAATTTCACTCCAATTGACAAATCTATTTTTAACAACAAAGTCTATACATAAATCAGTTCATTAGGTTAATCAAGTACTTCATTGAACAAGTAGTCTGCTGCACACATTGCAAAAGGTAAGAGATGCTCCACACAGTTTACCTGTGCTGGCTTCTCCTGCAGAAACTGAACTTCTCCATCTTGTAGAAAGGTGAGAAATCTAGGGATGATGTGTTCCAGGAATGTAGAATATTGAGGGGATGATGTCACATTCTAATTAAGAACAAAAAGAAAAAAAAACCAAACCCCACCAAAAAATGGGGAGACAAATACAATAGACATTACACAGATGATATTAACTTACATTCAAAAGCCACTATTAAACATTTTCAGTGACTTTTTAATATTCAGTGATTATGCATCTGCTGATGCGCTACAGAGCACTATTAATGAAACAAACAAGTGAATACAAATTAATTTTGTGGTGTTGTGGCGAGGTGGGTGTTAGTCTCTCTTCCAAGTAACTAGCAATAGAATGAGAGGAAATGTCCTCACGTTACGCCAGGGGAGGTTTAGACTAGATATTAGGAAAAATTTCTTTACTGAGAGAGTGGTCAAGCATTGGAACAGGCTGCTCAGGGAGGTGGTAAAGTCACTATCACTGGAAGTGTTCAAAAACCGTGTAGAGGTGGCACTTCGGGATATAGTTTAGTGGGCATGGTGATGTTGGATTGATGGTTGGACTTGATGGTCTTAAAGGTCTTTTCCAACCTTAATGATTCTGTGATTCTGTAATCTCTTTCTTCCAATCCCAAACTGTAATGATTTTTTTTTCCTATTTTAACAGTCACCTCAGAAAATAAAATTAGCATAACATACAGCTATTTTAAATGGGGGGAAAAAAACCAACACTGTGGATGTTCTTAACAAGAAAGATTGACAGGCACACTCAGATTTCATTGCTGTAGAATTCCCAAGACTTTTCATCCACTGTTAATTTGAGATTTGAGTTATTTCTGCAAATATGTGTACATGCATATATCGCCCAAACTGAGCACTACTTTCCGCTGTGAAAACGATCTTGCACTACTATCCACTTCTTGTGGAGCCAGAAGAAATATTAGATGAGCAAGCTTCCTCCATCTGCAATTGCTGCATCTGCCTTACCAACAACAACAACAACAACAACAAAATCTAACTTGGCCACTGAGAAGTTTATTTGAAAACTCAGCTGTAGTTTCTCCACAGCTGTTAGGCAATTCTATGAAGCATCTGTGATATGGAAGCATACTGATCTGTTAATAAAGGTACAGGTAAAAATGCAGCATTCTTTTGAAAAAAATCTATATAGGTATTTCAGGAGTCTTTTCACATTATTCCTTGAGTAACATAAAAGTTACGTAAAGCCACCTCCTTTTATAGATTTCCACTACTATTCTCTACTTAGCAGTAAGATTTCATAACACGCAACCATAATCATATTACAGCAGGCACTGTGCAAACAAAGTTGTTTTTTATGTCAGGGCCTTTCAAGAAAGCAGACAGATGTGGTAAGAAGGGCACAAAAACATTTTAAATACATGTGCTGGTTTTGGCTGGGATAGAGTTAATTTTCTTCATAGTAGCTAGTACGGGGCTGTGGTTTGGATTTGTGCTGAGAACAGCATTGACAATACAGGGATGTTTTCTGCTGAGCAGTGCTTATGCAAGGTCAAGGCCTTTTCTGCTCCTCACCCCACCCCACCAGCGAGGAGGCTGGGGGTGCACAAGAAGCTGGGAGGGGACACAGCTGGGGCAGCTGACCCCAGCTGACCAAAGGGATATCCCGTACCATATGATGTCATGCTCAGCATAAAAACTGGGGGAAGAAGGAGGAAGAGGGGTATGCTTGGAGTGATGGCTTTTGTCTTCCCAAGAAACTGTTACGCGTGATGGAGCCCTGCTGTCCTGGAGACAGCTGAACACCTGCCTGCCCATGGGAAGTGGTGAATTAATTCCTTGCTTTGCTTTGCCTGTGTGTGCAGCTTTTGCTTTGCCTATTAAACGGCCTTTATCTCAATCTGCAAGTTTTCTCACTTTTACTCTTGTAATTCTCTCCCCCATCCCACCCGGATTCTTCTCTTCACCTCAAAGGTCTTCCAAAGAAAGTCTGCCTGTATCTTCTGCTCCACCTCCCCTATAGTCTTTCCAATTCTGAAAGAGTCCTAACCTCCCCAGCTTTATGCCATGAGAATGGTCCTACTTTGAAGGAAGGAAGGAAGGAAAGTTTCCACCAACAAATGAAATGGGTATTGCCAACATTCTTGGAAAGCGGCAAATCCATTCACGGAAAAGTATACCTTCACAAACACAGCCTAAATTTCTGAAAACACTTTCCCAATATCTTTGCTAAACAGCAAAGAGGAGTAAATTAGCAGCACTGTTGATATCTAGGAACTGCTGCTCTGTACCACACAAGAAACTAAAACCCCCAATACTCTAACCAAGTTCAGAATTACGCTGCTGGCACAGAACAGCAGCAGCAATGAAGGTTGATTCTGGAAGCTTTTTCTCCTCTAAAACAGACTGAAATGACAGTGAATACACTCCTGTCTCTCCATTTGGAATCCAGAATCTGTGAAGAAATGAAGAAGGAAAAAATGTCCCCTCAAACAAATAATTTCTGAGAAACAAGATTCAAAATTATCAAATGCTTCCATCCAGAAATTCGTTGAGAAGAGCAATATCCTCTGCTAGTCCAGAACAACATCATAACAACTAGGCCAACAGCTGGCACTATCAAGCCAATAATCATTATGGTGAAGCACCTCAGTTTTAAACCTTACTTCAAGAAGTCCTCCATATTCATCAATTCACATTCAGCTCTACCCCTAACTAGAGAGACACCTAGATCAATAATGAAGCCAACAGAATTTGAATGCTGCAAATTCCAACAAACAGCTAATTAGTGGGGAAAAAAAAATGTATTTTTTCACTGAAAGAAGTGAGAAATAAAATCTGCTGAACTTTATAGCTATTGGAAGCTGAAGTAGGCAATAGAGAAGAGTTAATAAGGAGACTATGGCACCAGAAGAAAAGCAGCCATCTAGCAATCTAGCATAACAACACGCAACAATACTGTCCGCAACCTCCAAAGGAAAAAACGAAACTAAAATTATATTAGTGGTTCCTGTTGCTCCCTCAAGTATTTTCCAACAAACAGAACTGTACTTCAGCATAAGCAAATTCATCAACTCTTTATGTAGGACCATGCACAGAACCAATCAAGTTCCAAGAAAAGAAAGCTACTCCATCTTGAACATTATCAAAACAAATATTGAAAAAGTTTTTCCCTACTGAAGACAAAGCAAAGAGAGTGAACTAAGCCTTCACATTTTAAACAGATCACTAGGCTAAACTGTTAAAACTGTTCTTTTACTCAGATAACAAATTAAGCTGACCTGCCATCTTTGAAACACACAGATACAAAAACTCCACAAGTATATTTTTAGTTAAGTCACTTATCAGTAATGTAAAGTTCTGCTCAGCCCATGTGCACATAGATGCAGAACTGTCACAGACTTCTACTTATTCACTTATACACACTAAGCCAGAATTAAGATTTTTATCGTTTTTTTATAATATAGTTACACTAGCTCTAAATTTATTCAACTACCTTAAGCTGAACTAAACAAAAAAATTCACTGGACAGGAAATTTCACCAATAACTCAGCAACAACCAAAATTGGCCCAGCTTTGCACATCCAGCACCTGCTGGATGTATATTTGCATAAAGCTTACTTAAAAATATCCAAAGACATTAAACAGGACTAGAGCATGTATTTGTTTCCACATCAGGGACTAAGACAGATTACTTCAAATAAAGCAGGTAAGGACAGAATGTGTTATAGTGGTAGCACTTTTTGTTTTAACCGTAACATGACTAAAAAACTAGATAGAGAGGATTACAGTGATTCTAAGATGTTGAATTTATTCCACAAAATATGTTCCCTACAATTCCAGAACAGAACATCTACAATGTTCTCTACAATTCCAGAACAGACACATAGTAACTAAGTATCCAACTGAAGCATAATTTTTGATACCACATGGTTGGTTTAACTTGTGTCTCACTTTTTTTCTGCTGCTCATCTAAACTTTATGGTCCAACACTATGCAAAAGATGTCACTGGAGCTATCTCCACTCCTGATGTCAGATTCTGCATCTGACAACTGCCCCCTCACTTTTTTACTAGGGAACTATTTGGAGGAATCTGAGGGGCCTCTGCTCTGTGAGGGCACAATAACGTATTTGAACTAAACAAAAGAAAGCTTAAAATACAGAGAGTTCATATACTTCAACAAATGGAAGAAAAATCTATTACTTCACCTTTATTTAAATGCTTACTGAATAAAGATCACAGAACGAAAAAGCTAAGTCCAAATGTTGTAATTCTTCGACAACCTGGATAACTCCTAAATACAACCTAAAAGCAATTACTTGTAACAATATAATCATAAGTCACAAGATACTAATATTAATATTTTAACCATATAACATCAGACATCAAACTGACACACATTAAGCACAAGCAAGACCATGATTTCTGGAAGGTTGGGGGTTTTTGGTAGGATTTTGTTGTTTTGTTTTTTATTTACCTCAAAATTCTCACTGACTTCTTGCATCATTTTCAATTTGGTTTCATCAGCTGAAAAATGGAAATTCAAGCAAAAAAATTAAACGTAAAACGGCATCATCAAGGAAAACCCCACGTTCATTGAGCAAAGAAGCAATCAGATCTTATCAGTTTAGCTATCACTGCCCAATTAAAAGGCACACAATTCCCACAAACAACCCTGTCACACAACTGCACACACACACAGCTCGCTCACTTCGGCTCATGCAAATATTACTCATCACTTTGCTTCTTCAAAAATCAAAACTCAAACAAAATTTAAAGTGAATTCATCACACCTTTATCAACTGTCTAAGCAATACTGCAATGTTTGTGAAACGAGCTACTGAACAACTGTAACTTTCAGTAGGAAAAAGTATCTTACGTGTATTGACATCCGTAAGAGCAGCCACAAACTGAAGGTATTTTTTCATCAGAGTGGTTTGGTCCACCACCGTAGGCCCTTGCGCTGAAACGAATGCCATCTTGGAGGAGGAAGGATCAGCTTTCAGTACATAAAATCAAGACCAACACACCTACAAAAAAAATAAAACATTTGTTAGTTTATTGGCTGGTTAACAGCAGTTTTCACATCACCTACACCCATTCTTTTGGCATATCGAAGCGGACGTGTCTTTTCCAAAAACCACAACTGTCACGTTTAGTTAGGCTTACAGTTGTAACGCCTAGCATGTACAGCACTCAATATACCAGCAACACACTTCTGAATAAAGGCGATACAGATGTACATACAAATGATCAGTGGGCTTTTCACACCTCAGCGTAATCATTCGCGTTTTGTTTGGCCTCGTTTCCGCCCGGCGCAGCAGGCCCGGGGATGCTCCCGGCGCCGCACACCTCTTGCGTTGTCTTGGCTGCCGCCCCCCACACTTACACCGCCCTGGGTCGCGCCCCGGCAGGGCTCGCTCCCAGAGGCGCCCCAAGCTGTGCCGCCGCTTGTAAAGAAAACTGAAATCAAATTCAGCTCGAAAGACCAGCGACCTCCCTCCTCACCTCGGCGCTTTCCTGTCAGCTCTCCTCATAGCCCGCT